AGTGGGTTCCCTTCTGTCCCAGAGTAGGTCTAGAAGTACTGCCAAGAACCAAGGCCTGAAATCAAGAATCCCATGAGCCTACTACTTGGTGCTTTACCCCACTGTGGTTGAGCTGGTATCTAAGCTGCAAAACAAAGTCTCTGTCACTCTTCCTTCTGCTTTTCTCAAGCAGAAGGAGTCTCTCCTTTTGTCATCACAGCTATGAATGTGCTGGGTCAACCTCAAGCCAGCACATCTGGGAGTCTCATCCAAGGCCCATGGTGCGTTCTACTTGGTTACCATTGCTGACTAGTCAGGACCCAAAGGCTCTTTAGTCAGCAGGTGGTGAATCATGCCAGGTCTGAGTCCTTCTCTTCAAGGCAGTGGGTTCCCTTCTTCCCAGGTTGTGTCTAGAAGTGTTATCTGGGAGCTAGGAGGCCTTAGGACTCTGCCTGGTGCCCTATCTTACTGAGGCTGAGCTGGCATCCAAGTCACAAGACAAAGTTGTCTTTACTTTCCCCTCCTCAAACAAAAGGAAGGGGTCACTTTTGGAGCTACAAGCTATGCTGCATTGGGACATGACGAGTGATGGTGCACGCATTCCCTTAGCTGCTCTGTCTGTGTCTCACTAGGCTGCTTTATTTTTAAAAGCATATTTGCCTGTTTTTTTGTTTTTTCTTTTTTGAGACAGGATCTCACTCTGTCACCCAGGCTGGAGTGCAGTGGTGACATCATGGCTCACTGCAGCCTCAAACTCCTGGGCTCAGAATATCCTCCTGTCTCAGCCTCCTGAGAAACTAGGACTACAGGCACACACCATCACACCTGGGTGATGTGTTTATTTTTTGTAGTGACTATCTTGCCCAAGCTCCATACTCACCATTTTTAAGTATGGGCATGCCTCAGAGACATTGTAAATTTGGTTCCAGATCACCACAATAAAGCAAATATTACAATAACGGAAAATCATATGAATTTGTTGGTTTCTCAGTGCACATAAAAGTTATGTTTACATTATACTGCAGTCTATTAACTGTGCAATAGCATTATGTCTAACAAAACACTGTGTCTCACTGTGTCCCTTCATGTCCACTGGCTCCAAGCCCGACATAGCACTGCAACTTACCTAGGAGTTGCAGTCCTTGTGGCCTAGACTGCCTGTCAAGTTTACTTAGAACCTCAGAACACTTTAGCCCACAGAGGTGAGGCTTGCACAAACTCAGGTTCTGACCCCTGGGATGGGTGATTTCCCTCTGGCTAGGGCTGATCTCAGTGGTGCCTCTGTGGGTTTCAGCTGAGTTCTGCACAGTGTTGGCAGCACTGAGTTCCAGTGCAACATCCTACAATTGCTGTGCTCTTCCTGACCCCCAAGCACACAGATTCTCTCTCTGTGCAAGAGATGGGGAAGGGGTGGTATCAGCAATTTAAGACTGTCTTTCCTACCCTCTTCAGTGCCTCTTTCAGAGATATGAAGTTGAAAACCAGGTACTGTGATCACTTACCTGATTTTTGGTTCTCAAGGAGGTGCTTTTTTGTGTAATAGTTGTTAAATTTGGTGTTTTCGTGGGGAGAATGATCAGTGGAAGCATCTATTCAGTTATCTTGCCTTGCCTACTCCAAACTATTTTTAAATTAAGGTATGCACCTTTTTTTTTTAATTGACATAATGCTATTGCATGGAGGAGAGGAGCACTGTGTGAAGGAAAGGCAGAACAGTCCCGTCAATCTAGAGGTCTTTAATAAGGTGCCAATACCATTCAAGAGGCTAAGACCTCATGACTTAATCGCCTCCCAAAGGCCACATCTCTTAATACTGCAGCAGTAGGGATTAAGTTTCAACATGAATTTTGGATGGGATAACATCATTCAAAACATAGCAATAGCTAGCCTTTCTTATGTTTATGGTCTATTTGTATTTCCTTGCAGTAAAATGCTTATTTTTCTTTTGCCCATTTTTGTATTATGTTGTTTATCTCTTGCTACTGATATGCAGGCATTTTGTATCTATTTTGGATATTAATCTTGTGTCAATTATATGTGTTAAAAAATATCTTCTCCAAGTTTGTAGTTTGCTTTTTACTTCCCCAATAAAAAGATGTCTGACTTATAATATAAATTTGTAAATCCTTTAATCAAGAGTTTATTTCTCTCTATTTGTGAATTCTCCCTTACCTTAAGGTTGTAAAAATACTATATTTTCTTCTAAAATTTCAGATTTTTGCTTTTAACATCTAAGTTTTTATTTATGGACTTGATTTTGGGTTATAGTGTGATACTTAATTTCGTTTCTTTATTTTGTCCCCAGGATAATAACAAATAGTCTTCATACCATCTAGTAAGTACTTCCTTGTTTAAGAAGAGAGCTGCAGTGCCACATCAAGCTTCCATATATTCATGAGTCCGTTTCTGGACTATATTTCATTACACTGATTGATCTATAGATTCTTCCTCCTATACCATACTATCTTTTTTTTCGGAGTTTCACTCATGCTAGCCAGGCTGGAGTGCAATGGCGCGATCTTGGCTCACCGCAACCTCTGCCTCCTAGGTTCAGGCAATTCTCCTGCCTCAGCCTCCTGAGTAGCTGGGATTACAGGCATGCACCACCATGCCCAGCTAATATTTTGTATTTTTAGTAGAGACGGGGTTTCACCATGTTGACCAGGATGGTCTCGATCTCTTGACCTCGTGATCCACCCGCCTCGGCCTCCCAAAGTGCTGGGATTGCAGGCTTGAGCCACCACGCCCGGCCTACCATACTATCTTAATACTGCCTTATATTAAGTTTTGTTATCTGGTAGGAGAAATCTTCCACTATATTCTTCTTTGCTTTTATTGAGATTTTGATCTCCCATATAAATTTTGGAACTACAGGCTCAAGTTCTTTGAAAACTCCATTTAAATGCTGATGAGACTTGTATTGAATTTTACAGTTCACTATTGCGATTTTAAAGATATTGAGTCCTCTCATCATTGAACATGGCATATCTCTTCATTTATTTCTTCTTTAAAGAATTTCAGTGAAGTTTTACAGTTTCCTTCATATAGGTCTCACACATCCTTGTTTTATTGCTATAATAAATGGTAAAAAAAAAATATGGCTTATCAAACCAGTGTAAAAAGATATTTTTGAAGTACTTTGATGTATTTCAATTTGTACTGGATATTAAATGATATTAAGGTATTAATGTTAATTGGATTAGGTTAATATGTTAAATGGTGTTCATTATGATAAAAATAAAAGGCCTTTATTAGAAACTCTTATGCATCTACTGGTAAGATGACATGTCATTTGTTTAAAATAGTTCATATGACATAGTGTCACTATTTTTAGTTTTAAATAGTTCATTAAAAAAGCGAGGGGAGATGAAAGAAGAATGCCTAAGTGTTGATAATTGTTGAAGTGAAGCTGGGCAATGGGTATGTGAGTGTTCATTGCACTATGCTCCCAATTTTTGTGTATGTTTGAAAAGTTGTATAATAAAGACTTTAACATTATATTTTCTAATTATTTTTTGCTGGGGTGTGTGTGTATATATATATATATGGAGAGAGAGAGAGAGAGAGAGAGAGAGAGAGAGAGAGAGCGCGCGCACCATTCTGCTAAACTCTCTCATTGTTTCCAAAAATTTGTCTATTGTTTTGGTGTTTTAGGTGTCCTAGACAGTCTTACCATCTGTGAATGTGAATATGTGGAAAAAATTTCTCCTTTTTCAATCCTAGGCCTTGCTGGGTTGGCTAAGACCTCAAATATAATGTTGAGTGAAGGTATTAATGTTGGGCATGCTTGTCATGTTTTGATTTTTTAAAAGACAGCTAAGTTTCACTATTAAGAATGTTTTTTTTTTTCTTTTCTCTCTTTTTTTTTTTTTTTTTTTAACTGTTGTGAGACCCTTCACTATGTTGCCCAAGCTGGAGTGTTGTAGTGCCATCATAGCTCACTGCAGCCTTGAATTCCTGGGCTTAAGTGATCCTTCTACTTCAGCCTCCCTAGCATACACCACTATGCTTGGGTATGATGTTTTAAAAGATATTCTTTTTGGTAATGTTTTGGTAGTTACACTGTCACTGGTAAAAGAGATTTCGTCCTATTTGCACTTTGCTAAGAATTTTTATCATGAATAGATGTTGAAACATAATCAGATGTTGAATTTTATTAAACACTTTTTTCTTTCTTTTTCTTTTTTTTGAGAAGGAGTCTTTTTCTGTCACCCAGGCTGGAGTGCGGTGGTGCCATCTCAGCTCACTGCAACCTCTGCCTTTTGGGTGCAAGCGATTCTCCCGCGTCAGCCTCCTGAGTACTTGGGATTACAGGGGCATGTCACCACACCTGGCTAGTTTTTATATTTTTAGTAGAGATGGAGTTTTACCATGTTGGTCAGGCTGGTCTTGAACTCCTGATCTCGTGAACTGCCTGCCTCAGCCTCCCAAAGGTATTAGAGGCGTGAGCCACCATGCCCAGCCTAAATGCTTTTTTTCTGCACTTATTGAGATGTGTTATTTTTCTTTCTTCGTGTCACATAATCAATTATATGTATGGATTTTCTAATGTCAAGCCAATCAATAATTTAAATTTATTTCCACAAAGTAAACATTGAGCCCAGAGAATTGCTCAGAAAAATTCTACCAAACTGTCATTGAATGAATTATTCCAATCTTGTCGAAACTCTTCTACAGACTAGAAAAAGAGGAAATACCCCCTAAGACTACGAAGCTAGTATAACCTAAGTAGACAAAGACAGAAACAAGAAAGAGAAATTACAGGCCAATTTCACTCATGAACATAGACGTAAAATTCCTGAGTAGAATACTAGCTAACAGAATCCAGAGAAGATTGTGTGGAACCAGCGAGTACTTGCAGCAAACACCACAAACAAACAAACAAACATACAGCAAATAACTCCAAGGATACTTATACATATAATTAATGCAACTATAGGACTGACTCTGACAAGTAGTTTTCTTAACTTTAAACAGAATACTTACCCTCGCCAACATTTATTTTTCTCTTCATTATAAAGGGAATTGAACAGCTTGGACTTGGAGACAGTGAGTTAAAACAGAAATAAGAAGGCGGCAGAAAAAGATTATACCAGATTGAAATGTGTTGGATATTCATATCTACCCAGCACCTCAGAATGTGGCCATGGAAGACGGAGGCAGAGATTGAAGTGTCACATCGTCAAGCCTAGGAACACTAAGGATTGCTGGTAGTCACCAGAAGCTGGAAGAGGCAAGAAAAATGTCCTTTCCTAGAGCTTTCAGAGAAAGTGCCATCCTGCCAACACCTTGATTATATGCTTCAAGCTTCTAGAATTGTGAGAGAATAAATTTTGTTGTGATAAGCCACCCAGATTGTGGTCCTTTGTTATGGCCGCCCTGGGAACTAATAAACATGATGGTACTGGGAAGTGAGATGCTGCTGTGGCAAATACCTAGAAATGTGGAAATGGCTTTGGAACTGGGTAGTGGGTAGAGGCTGGGAGAATTTTTAGGTGCATGCCAGAAAAAGCCTGGGTTGCCTTGAAGAGATTGTTGGTAGAAATCTTGAAGTTTAAGGACATTCTGGTAAGGGATGAGAAAGAAGGAAGGAGAGCTATGGAGAGGGCTTCCATTGTGTTAAAGCATATATACATATATATAACCACTAAAAGAATGTTGCTAGAAATATGAGCAATAAGGGTGCTTCTGGTGACATTTAAAACCACAGTAAAAAATGGCAGAGCTTCCAACAGCCTAGGTTCCTGAATGACTGCATGAAGCGTGCCCCAGCCCCTGCTGACAGTTGGACTTTATGTGAGTGGGAAACTGCTATTATGTTAAGCCACTGATATTTCAGGAGTTATCTGTTATAGCAGCTAGCTTAATACATGAATACACTTTAACCCAGAAATACACTTTTTAAAAGCTTTTCACATAGAGGGAAGATGTACAAACATTGGTTATGGTAGTTGGGATTAACTTTGGTATTCATTACTTAAAAAGATAGGTAAATGTAAAAACACCCCAGAGCCTAAGAAAAAACAAAAAAACAAGACAAAAAGATAGGTAAGTAGACATGAAGCATTTGGAAGCAATGTACTAGATGAATGTACAATGAGGTGGATAAATCTCAAGAACATAATGTTGATCAAAAAAATCAATGAGCAGAATTTTAGATAGCAGTAGTATAATATCATTGATGTAATTTTGAAGGAAAATGGGAGAAAAAAAACTATAGCACAATACCATTGATGTAAATTTAAACACATAAATACACAAAACAATCTTATATATTTTTCAAAGATACATACATATCCAAGGTTATATACCAAACATATCAGGGAAGAAGAATGAATTTGGGAGTCAATTGAATGGGAAAAAAAGAAAAGAAAGGGGATGTTGCAGAAACGATGGGGATAAAGTGCCGAATTGAGGGGTATGACTGACTCAATTTTCTGTATCTATATGTGCTAGATGCTGCAAAGTACCACCCAGATTTCTTCTCCAGGATTGGAAGATTTGTTCCCCCAGCTGTTAGAAGTGCTGCAGGAAGACAGTCCTCAGTTCTCAGTCCTCTTTGGGGATTGCTGTGGCAAAAGAAAACTGGAGGTCCAAAATGATAACTCCTTCCAAGAGTAGCTCATATACAAAAATTGAGAGGTGCCTGTTCTTGCTTCAACTTGGGACAATCCTGTAGGGCCATCCCAGATCCAGAGCTTATCATCAGGTTGGTTGATTGATTACACTTCAACCTCTCTCTCTATCCAATTCAGCTTTCTTTCCCTCCCTTCCACAAGTGTTGACCCCAAGACCACTCCCTAATAAATGGCCTGCACACTAGTCTCCATCTAAGACTAATGTATCTCCAACTCTTCTTCTTGAAGCGCCAAGCTGTGACACAAACGTTAATGTGTGTTCGTATGTATTAACCTTTGTTGCTATACATTTCCCTTTTGCTCACCTCTATTTTTCAAGTTTATGGCAACATTTTGTGAAAATAAACAAATATGAAAGTTTTTATAAAATATAAGAATGTATTTCTATAATATCAGCTTTAGCAATAACAAAACATGCCAGAATTTCTGCCATGAACATAAAATAGCTAAAAGCACCCTAGACATTGAAAAGAAAAGATATCACCCTTATTTATCAAGAAAACTTTAACGAATACAAATGATGAAAAAATAAATTGACATGTAATCAGTTCCCATTAGGTAGCAAGTTAAATTCCAAACCAAAGCTTCCTCACTAAATCGGTTGTCCAGTTGTGTTATTTCCAACCTCCTACCACATCACACATGAGTAGAAGTCACTTGGAAACCTCTTTAATTCCCTTAACACTTGTCCATTTAATCCACTTGCCTAGACTGTTGTTCTCCTGTGAGCTTTTGATGAGCTTTCAATCCTACGTGTTCCTATGTTTGAAAAGTGTTTCTCACAACTAATTGTGTATTAGCTTCCCAAGGCTGCTGTAACAAAGTATCATAAACCCGATGGCTTATAAAAACAGAAATTTATTCTCTCACATTTATGGAAATAAGAAGCTCAAAATCAAAACGTCAGCAGGGCCATGCTCTGTCTGAAATATTTTATGGCAGAATTCTTCCTTGCCTATTCTAGCTTCTAGTGGTTGCCAGCAATCCTCAAATGAGTTTCTCCTTGTGTGCCCTCTCCTCGTCCTTTAATGTAATCACATTTAAGGCCCACCCTAATCTGATATGACTTCATCTTAATATACATCTTAATTACATCTGCAAAGATCCGATTTCTGAATAAGGTCCCATTCTGAGGTTCCAGGTGGATATGAATTTGGGAGGTACACTATTCAACCCAGTAAAGTTTGCTCTCTGCTATAAATGCCTAGGAGAAGGATCCTGAATGTTCCCAGCACAAAGAAATCATCAAGGCTTGAAATAATGGATATGCTAATTACCCTGGTCTGATCACTATACTTTGTATATATCAAAACATCACTATAGGCTGAGGAGGGCAGATTGCTTGAGCCCAGGAGTTTGAGAGCAGCCTGGGCAACATGGTGAAACCCTGTCTCTATTAAAACTACAAAAATTGGCTGGGTATTGTGGTGCGTGCATGCAGTCCCAGCTACTCCAAAGGTTGAGGTAGGAGGATGGCTTGAGCATGGGAGGTAGAGGCTGCAGTGAGCCAAGATCATGCCACTGCACTTCAGCCTGAGGGATAGGGTCAGGCCTTGTCTCAAAAACAAAACAAATAATCACTATGTACCCCATAAATATATATAATTATTATGTATCAATGAAAATACATAAAAGATAGAGCTTATGATGGGATACGGAAAGGAAACTGAATTGAGAACTGGGGATTTGAGTAAAGGAAAATGCTAATAATTACATTAAAAATTTTAAAAAGTGGGGTTTAACATGGATAAATGATAGCTTGCTAAGAAATTAATATTATCAACTCAATTCTGTATATCTGAGTTAAAAAAAGGCTCTGCTAGTAATTCACAGAGCTATACCACTTTTGGAAAGATTTCCACTTTTATTTTGTAAATATTATAGTTTGGTTAAGTTTCCTATACCAACATAAAATAAATTTAACATTTTTGCTTCAATCTTGAATAAAATTTGTTTTCAGTTTATTTTATTAATGGTATGTTTTGTTTTTTATTTTGCATATTTATTTTTCTCATTTATTTCTTGATGAACTAGTCCAATGACATAGTCCCTTGTTAATTTAAATTCATGTTTTCCCATGGGGCACACTAATTACTACATAGTTTGGATTTAAAGTCCTTGATGTACCTGATGAAAAAAATGAGAAACTCTTATTTAGCAGTCTAACTTTCTGAACATAATCAATAACTTTATTGAAAGGGAAGATCCAAACTCTGTGGTTAGGGCTTCTACTTTTAGTCAGGTAGAGTAGGTAACTTGTGGCAGAAAAGGCACCCTTTAAGAAAAAGTGGGAAAATTGGATTAAAAAAAAAATCCCTGCCGTGTGCAGCGGCTCATGCCTGTAATTCCAGCACTTTGGGAGGCCAAGGCAGGTGGATGACAAGGTCAGGAATTCGAGACCATCCTGGCCAATATGATGAAACCCCGTCTCTACTAAAAATACAAAAATCAGCTGGGCATGGTGGCACATGCCTGTAGTCCCAGCTGCTAGGGAGGCTGAGGCAGGCATATCGCTGGAACCCAGGACGGGGAGGTTGCAGTGAGCCCAGATTGTGCCACTGCACTCCAGCCTGGGCAACAGAGAGAGACTCCATCTCAAAAACAAACAAAACAAAACAAAACAAAAACCAAAAGCTCGTTATGGGTATTGGGAAGCTGCTAAGGCAACATAGAAGTTGAGAGGTGAAGATTGTGGAGAGATGAGAACCACGGAGAGCTGAATGGACGTTCTGCAGCAATGTTTTCTCAAGGGAAATTTCACAATTCCGGGCTCAAAGAATGTAGATGAACCAAGCAAAGGGCCTTGGGAAAGGGCTGTGGCTGGAAGGCAGAGTAGCTATCAGAGCATTCATCAATCCTATGAGTGTGAAGAAACAGATATTGTAGACTGGAGGGACAGAAAGCTGAGCCCAGCAATTGACCTTTTTTTTTTTTTTTTTTTTTTTTTCTTTTTGAGACAGAGTTTCCCTCTGTTGCCCAGGTTGGAGTGCAGTGACACAATCACAGCTTACTGCAGCCTCAATCTCTGGACTCAAGTGATCCTCCCAATTCAGCCTCCTGAGTAGCTGGGACTACAGGCACATGTCATCATGCCCGGATAATTGTTTTACTATCATTATTATTTTTTGTAGAGAAGGGGTCTCCTTATGTTGCCCAGGCTGGTCTCGAACTCCCCAGTTCAAGAAATCATCTCACTTGGTACTGGGATTACAGGATTCAGCCACCATGCCCAGCCAGGTGTTTGTTTATTTGTTTGTTTTCCATTTTGCTGAATTCTGAAGCTATAAAATTCAGGAAACTAAGAAGCCAGGCAAAGCAGAGTGGAGTTTCTGGCAGTCTCACACTGCTGAGGAGTCAAGGATTAGAGTTCAGAACATGTCATGAAGGCTGGAACCCAGATAAGTCCCAGGTTTTTAGGAACTTAAGCAGCTATGCTCTTGGGTGGTAGTGATGAAAAGGTAGAAAGAGGCTGTGTGCAGTGGCTCACACCTGTAATTCCAGTATTTTGGGAGGCTGAAGTACTTGAGGCCAGGAGTTTGATACTAGTCTGGGCAATGAAGTGAGACCCAGTCTCTACAAAATATAGTTTAAAAAATTAGCTGGACATAGTGGCATGCACTTGTAGTCCTAGCCACTTAGGAACTAGAGGTGGGAGAATGGCTTGAGTCCAGGAGTCTGAGCCTGCAGTGAGCTAGGATTGTGTCACTGCATTCCAGCCTGGGCAACAGAGTGTCTCTAAAATAAATACGTAGATTTTTTTTAAAAAGAGGTGGAAAAAGTCTTAGTAAAACTGCAGCCTAACTTTGGGTTAGCTCAGTCCCTGATTGAATTGAGTGGCCAGTTCTAACCCTACCTACTTAGCAGAGGAAAGGATGAGCCCTCTCTGGAGATTCCTTCATCATCCAGAATTTCTATAATTCTTCAAGAGACTATCTGACTTTCAAAAAGTATCAGGCATACCAAGAAACAGGACAAAATGACAGAGAAAGAGAGAGAGACAGAGAGAGAGAGAAGTAAGACAGGAGATTCACAGAATTATAGCTCTTAACAAATATTTTAATATTACTATAATAAATGTATTCAAGAAAATAGAAGAAAATATGGAGAAAATAGATTAAGAAAAAAAAAAAAGAATTTACCAGAGACAAATGGGACATAATGAACAAGTCTGACATACATGTAACTGGAGTCCTAGCAGACTAGGAAAGACTGGAAAAGCAAATGCTCTAAGATGGAAAAAGAAAGTGCAAAAAAAAAAAAAAAAAAAAAAGAAAGAAAAAAGAAAAGTAAAGAAAGAGCTAAATATATGAGTATATTATATATGAGTAGATTTTGACTGTATAAGGCAACAATAGTAATGCTGTTTGAAATTTAAAACATAGAATTTCACAAGGTATGGTGGCTCATGCTTGTAATCCCAGCACTTTGGGAGGCTAAGGTGAGATGATCTTTCGATGCCAGTTCAAAACCAGCCTGGGCAACATAGTGAGACCAATCTCTACAAAAATTAACTGGGCATGGTGGTTTGTGCCTGTAGTTCTAGCTACTCAGGAGGCTGAGGTGGAAGGATCACTTGAGCACAGAGTTTGAGGCTGCAGTGATTCATGATCATGCTACAGCACTCCAGCAGCCTGGGCAAAAGGGCAAGACCCTGTCTCAAAAAAAAGAAAAACAAAAGGAAAAAATTTAAAAACATAAAATGTATAAAATTAAATATACAATAAAAACAAAACAAAAGCCAAGAACTGGTAAATGGAGTTAAAGTGTTCTAAAGCACTAGCATTGTCAGGGAAGTAGTAAGAAAAGCCATTTTAGGCTGTGTTATGGTTAAATTGTGTCCTTCCCAGAAGGTATGTTGAAGTCCTAACCCAGTACTTCAGAAAGTGACCTTATTTGGAAACAGGGTCATTGCCAATGTAATTAAGGTAAAGATGAGGTCATAGTGGAGTAGAATGACACCATAGAACAGAAAACAGCCATATGAGGACAAGAGATATAGAGGGAATACCATGGGAAGATGGAGGCAGAGATTAGATTGGAATGACGCACCTAAAAGACAAGTGTATTAGTCAGGGTTCTCTAGTGAGACAGAACTAATAGGATAGATGTATATATAAAAAGGAGTTTATTAAGGAGTATTAACTCACATGATGACAAGGTCCCACAATAGGCCATCTGCAAGATGAGGAGCAAGGAAGCCAG